GTCGTCATCACCAAGTTCATTGAGGGTGCCCAGGAGATTGACGTTGACGCTGTCGCTTCCAACGGCAAGCTTCTGCTCCACGCCGTCAGTGAGCACGTTGAGCCTGCTGGTGTGCACTCCGGTGATGCCACTCTCGTCCTCCCCCCTGCCAACCTCGAGGAGTCTGTCATGAGCCGCGTTAAGGAGATTGCTGAGAAGGTTGCCAAGGCCTGGAACATCACCGGTCCCTTCAACATGCAGATCATCAAGGCTGACCTCGAGGGTGCTGAGCCTGAGCTGAAGGTCATTGAGTGCAACCTTCGTGCCTCCCGCTCCTTCCCCTTCGTCAGTAAGGTCCTGGGTACCAACTTCATCGATGTTGCTACCAAGGCTCTGGTCGGCCGTGACGTCCCTGAGCCCGTCGATCTCATGAGTGTCAAGCGCGACTACCTTGCCACTAAGGTTCCCCAGTTCAGCTGGACCCGTCTTGCTGGTGCCGATCCTTTCCTCGGTGTCGAGATGGCCAGTACTGGCGAGATTGCCTGCTTCGGTAAGGATGTTGTTGAGGCCTACTGGGCTTCCCTGCAGGCTACCATGAACTTCCGTTGCCCTGAGGCTGGTGAAGGTATCCTGCTCGGCGGTGATATCACCAACCCTGCCCTGGCCCAGATTGTCGAGTACCTCAAGCCCCTCGACTTCAAGTTCTTCGCTGCTAGCCCCGCTGTCAAGGAGCACCTCGAGGCTGCTACCAAGGTTCCCGTGCAGGTCATTGAGTTCCCCAAGCAGGACAAGCGTGCTCTGCGTGAAGTCTTCCAGAAGTACAACATCCGTGGTACCTTCAACCTTGCCAAGACCCGTGGCAAGTCTCTCCTCGATGAGGACTATGTCATGAGACGTAACGCCGTCGACTTCGGCGTTCCTCTCTTCATGGAGACCAAGGTATGCAAATTACCCCCTCTTCCTCCCTGTTTGCCCTGTTGCTAACTGTTCCTTTCTAGACTGCTCTCCTCTTCGCCCAGGCCATGAGCGAGAAGATGCCCCGTGCCGATGGCATTCCTTCCGAGGTCCGCACCTGGTCCGACTTCACCGGCGGCAAGCTGCTGTAAACGCAAGTTTACCCACAAAAAGGACGAAAAGTTTGATTTCATAGATATAATCACGGTTTTGTATTCGTTCATCTTTCCAGGCACAGAAAAGCCGCCGTGTTTGGCGTAGCGGATAAGGCTCCATGTTGATAGATATGTTTACTCCGCCCTGGCATATGGGCATTCTGTCGCGTCTTCAAAAAAGGCGATATGAGGAATACGGTCATGCGCTCTGTGGTTTTCTTTCGTGGTTTGTTGGCCTTGTGGATGATTTCTTCTGTTACCTTTTGCTTCGCAGTCTATAGGTTTGTAGGCCGGCTTTGTGCTTGAGCGAAAGGTCAAATTTTCTATATTCTAGTTGTATGTAGTATAGCCTGTCAATTATATCCAATTTCGATTTCTGATATGATCTTGGTCAATTCTGTGCTTTGGACTTGTAGCCGCTTTAATTATGATGTGATTCTCGCTCATTAACACTATCATATACTCATTTTGCCAGTACGACGCGGTTAACTTAGGCCGCGTACCGCACAAGTCGGGGTAACACCGATCTCTGGCATCACAAACGATCTTGAGCTTGAAACAATATACATAATTCTGTCTAGATCATACTACTTCACATTGTATCTTTCTGTATTTTGGCCCTCTCACCCAGCAACGTACACCGGTTTATCTGAATTGTAGAAGAAATGCACTGAGTAGAAACATTTTTCCATCCCGAGCACATCCACGCCAAGCTTGGACGAAAAGGGAAATTACTCTATAACTTCAATTATCAAAGCCACAAATACATTAAAAACGAGCCATTCTTCCTTCAGCTATTCAGCAGATACTCTGTATCATCACATGGAAACATACAAAGTCCAATGAACACAAAGACCACACCCCAGCCCGCCCCAGGTGGTCTAGGACGGGGCCTCTTCGCCTCAACAGACATTGCCGTCGGCGAAGAAGTGCTACACATTCCCGTCCCATTCGTGGCAGTCCTAGACACGGAACACCTAGGAGAGGTATGCTCCGGCTGCTTTGGCCAGAGACAGCTAGAAGAGGAAGGGATAGCTCTGAAAGGCTGCAGAGGATGCGGCATTGTGAAGTACTGTGATAAGGTCAAAAAATAGCCTCCCCACTTGCAGAAAACCTCACTAACCCTCGCAGACATGTCAAGCAAAGAACTGGAAGCTGGGACACTCTCTTGAATGCTCCATCTACCAGAATCTGAAGCCCCGCGTTCTGCCTATCAACGCGCGAGCCGTGCTGCGCATGGTCTTGCGCAGCGAACGCCAAAAGTACTCCAGCGAGGAGCTGGACCAGTTCCTCCAGCTTGGGACTCATATCAAGGACATTCGCGACCAAAGTGCCTCGCAGTGGGAGCGTATATCTCTTTCCTCGAAGGCGATCAAGGCCTACTCTGGCACGGATATGAGCGAAGAGGTCATATCTGCTATGGGAGCTAAGGTACGTATATACATACACAATGCTATACATACATACCCTTCAAAAGACAACTCACACCCTTTCTAGCTCGACCTCAACTCCTTCAACCTCACCAACGCCGTCTATGACCGCCTCGGCGTCTACCTGCACCCTTACGCCGCCATCTTCAACCACAGCTGCGACCACAACGCCGCCGTCAGCTTCGACGGCCCCAACCTGCACATCAAAGCCCTCCGACCCATCCGGAAGGACGAGCAGATATTCATCACTTACATAGATGTAACGGACCCCTATCCTATTCGCCAAGCTAACCTCCAATCTCGATACTACTTTACCTGCCACTGCTCGAAATGCAGCCGAGAAGCAGCCTCATCAACAGCAATAACCCTACACCCAGCACAGCAAGAAGCCTACAACATCCTCCAATCCCTATCAACCTTAGAGAACCCCATCCAAACCCTCCTTCAAGCCCTCACCACCCTCCAAACCTTCTCCCTCCCCAAAACTACCCAACCCTCCATCTCCCTCCACGACGAACTCATCACCGCCCTCCTCGCCGAACAGAAATACAAATCTGCCTTCGCCCACGCCGCGGCCCGCTACCGTGCTGTCGATCCGATCGTGTACCCGCTCCAGGGCCATCCGATCCGGTTGCTGCATGCGTGGGTGTTGGCTAGGTTGGCGATCCATTTGTCACAGGGCGTTGAGGTACAGCATGCTGGTGGTAATGAGGAAATTGCCTTGGAGAAGTACGAGTTGAATTTTAATTTAATTATTTGGTCGGTGTTGGCGAAGTTGGTGGGGATGGAAAGCACGGGGGGTATGGGCCCTGGGTTTTGGAGGTTAGTGAAGAGGGAGTTTCGGGCTGTGAGGGGGGAGTTTGTTGCTGCGGGGTTGGATCCGAGGGGGTCGAGGGAGTTGGAGAGAGAGATTGGGAGGGAGTGGGGGAAGGTGGATGGGGTGGTTAGGGATTTGGGGTTTAGTATAGCTTAGTATTAATATATTGATAAGGGATGTATGTATGTGAATGTGTAGGGAAGAGGGTTCTACTTCTAGGCAAACGAGGGATATGAATGAAAAGTGAAATCGTTAAATTAGACTGCCATCCTTCGTAAGCTAACCAACAAAAGGAAGAGCAAAGCCTCTGCGCCCCCTTCCATCCAGGACAAAAGGGGCTTGGATCGTGAGATTTAGAAGGATCCGGTTGGTTTCTTTCTTTTTTTCGTTCTCATATTGCCGACAAGACCTTTATATTGAGATGCAAACAGCTGACCCGCACTTGGACATACAAGGTAAGAAGATGAGAACCCAAAGAAATGCCATATGGGTATCCATCCAGTTTTGATTCTTTTTTTCCTTTATCCCTAGAGATCCTCCCAGCAACATTCCGTACGCCCGAGTTCCTCCTCCACACGACGACACTCCATCCACTAAAGCTTTTCTTCTTTACTTGAGGGGAATGAAACGGGAAGAGTGGGTGGCACCGATACCGGGACGACCGTGCTTGACGGGCTTGCTGTGTGGTTGTTAGACATACCATATTCATTTGGATTCGCTCGCGGGGGATACGGCTATTGGGGGTACGTACTAGGAGATAGAGAATTCACCCAGGTAGTGGCCAACCATCTCGGGCTTGACTTCGATCTGGTTGAACTCCTTACCGGAGTAGATACCGATGACGCTGCCGATCATCTCGGGGACAACGATCATGTCACGGAGGTGGGTCTTGACGAGGTCGGGCTTCTCGTTGGGGCGAGCCTCCTGCTTGGCCTTGCGGAGCTTCTTGATGAGACCCATGGGCTTGCGCTTCAGACCGCGGTTGAAGCGACGACGAGCGCGGGCGTGAACGACATCACGGAGCTGTTCGGAGGAGAGGTCAAGGAGCCTGTGCAGATAAACAGGTCAGATACCATTCCACATATTTCCCGTCGGTCTTTTCGATAGATTGTCATATTTCCTTCCTTCGGCCGTCAACTCCCACGAGGATATTCCGCAAATATCCAGAAATGTCCATATTGCTGATATCGCTCGTTCGGAGTCGAGGCCGTCGGTTCGGAGTGCAGTGTGGGTATGATAGATATTCATGGTGAAACGTACTGGTCGAGGTCAATACCGCGGTAGGTGAACTTGCGGAACTGTCTTCTCTTCTTGATCTCTGTTTCCCGGATACGTCAGCGCCTTGTGTTCCCTTCAATCACTGCTGCGTGGTTCTCGTAGTTGGTGTGGCAAAAGCAAGAATAGAAACGTCGACAGAGAATTCGGTCCGTTGCCCCCCCATCCCTTCCTCAAAAATTTCCAAGTGTCGCATCATCGAATTATGTCCATATCATATCGTATATCCAGCCAAAATACCGTTTCCCACAACGCGAATTCGTCTCTGTTTCCGGGGTCCAGGGCAGGAAAGGGTGGTTCAGGCAAAAAAATTTCAAACGTACCGGCAGCCTCCTCGGCGTTCTGTAGGCAAAAGAACGTTAGTTCAGACTCTTCCTAGTCCTCTTCAACATGTCTTTAGTTATCGGAAAACTCACGTAGTGCTCGTCAGCCATTTTTGCGGTGTTCCTCTCAAGGTCGCTTTCCGAACGGGACTCGAAAAGCGAAGGGACGATGGGTTGTCGTGTCGTGTCGCTGATGAACGTACGTCGGGCGTCTCTTGTGCCTCTGCGCTGGGTTGGGAGGTGGGCTGGAGCCTCGTCTAAGCGACCCGTCTAGGGTTGCGACCCTACCACACTAGGCCGCTTTGGGAACCAATCTATAGGGCCGCTGGTCCAGCTGCCCTAAAGATTTGTATGGGGTATCTATGGATTATCGATGGATTAACTATGTATTGGGCTTGAAATCGTGGTTCTGCTGGAGCTCATTGGCTTGCTTGTAATGATTTCAATGCTCTCTCCTGTAAGTTTTGTCCAGCACTTACCGTATTTGGTAATCATTTATGAATGGTATCTAGTAGTTACAGAGAAACCCGCGCAAAGAATCCCATACTACGTTCTACGAGATATAATGTCACTCAATCAATCGGGAGGTCAGAGAATCTGTATTGGCTAAAGCTCTTTCCAGCTCACTTATGCATAAATCGTAACTGCATCAGAAAAGCCTGGCAAACACCGGCTTGACTGGACCAATGGGTAATTTTCCTCCCTAGACTGAAAATAACCGCCAGATTTCTGTTCCCCCACGAACTGTTACGTTTTTCTCGGTGTTCGGAGTGAAGGCGCTTAGTCGAAGAGACCGAAGCCCATGTCCTCATCGGACTCCTCAGCAGCCTCCTCCTTCTTCTCCTCAGCGGGAGCCTCAGCAGCAGCGGCGCCACCGGCAGCGGGGGCAGCGGCAGCAGCACCGGCACCACCGGAGGGAACGGAAGCGAGCTTCTGGGTACCCTCGGAGATGAGCTGTTGTAGAAAACCCATTGTCAGTATTCCATCTTGTAATCGCAAAATTTCTTGGTAGATTTTAAGGGCGTTAACTGACCTCCTGGAGGTCCTTGCCCTCAAGCTCAGCAAGGAGCTTCTGGAGGCGCTCCTCCTCAGCGTCAATGCCGACGGCGGAGAGGACGGACTTGATGTCCTCAGCGGAGGGGGTGTTGTTGCCAGCAAGGGCCAACAGAAGGTAGGCGGCGAGGTACTTCATTTTGAATCTGCAAGACAACCTGTCAGAACAACTGCGCCGGGAATGTCGTGGTCGTACTGTCGAAATTCGCAACGAGGCAATCAAGAAGGCAACGTACAGTTGTGGTGGTGAACACGAGAATCAATCGATTTAACCGCAAAGTTGGGCGGAGACTGACACGTCGAGTTCGCTGGGGGTTGAGCGATGTGATGGACGGAAAAAGAGAGAAATGGAATCCGAAGTTGAAAATCAAGAAAAGTGCGATGCGGCTGGTGGGTTGTGGCTAGTGCAGATCGTGCTAGTTCCGGTTAAGCGAGCGGCCGTGGCGCATGCGTTAACTCCCATGCCTTGGGCCCCGGTCACGTGGGGTCGCTGCTTCTAGAAGACAGGATGGCGACTTCTTGCACCGTTTTTGCCCGGCGGCTTTATCTGGTCGACCTCGTTGTATCCGGCTATCGCTTTGTTGGCATCTGCTTTGGGCCTTAATTCACGTCGTGCTTTATGTCTGGCACTAAGACGTGAATTAGGCTTATCTCTAATCTGAAAACGATTGATTTTTAGTGGTTCCGCAACGAAGTCATGAAGGTACCCCGTCATACTAACCACCGACGGTGAAACTACCCCCCTTCGTGACTACTCATATTCGATAGCTTTTGGCGCTTTCTTTGGCTACTAGGTGACAAAATGAGTGTAAGGAACCCATGAAAGCTTGCTGTTTGATGGCTTTTGCTGATCATACGACAGTTTCTCGATTCCGTTCTTTCGTCCATCGAGACGGGTAAACCGTCTCCAATCCCCCCCACCTCTGCCTCACCGTCGCCTCCTGTAACCTCTTCAAATGTCAAGACCGAGGTCCGCAAACCGGTCAGCGTCCCTCGAGATGGCGCTTCAGAGCGTAAACCTCTGGTTTCTGGAATCAAGCGAAAGGCCGAGGAGCAGCTAGCTCGTCCTGCAAAATCTGTTACCCCAGCACCTACCAGGGCAGCAGCAGCAACAACAACATCATCATCAACGACCAATACCACTACCACGGCGAAGACTACCGTATCTACAGCTCCTAGACCTCGTCCAAGCGCGCCTTCTACGACAGCAACGTCTGCAGTCAAGAGCCGCTCTTCAACCCCTCAGCAGAAGGCGCCTCCAGTGTCATCGAAGCCTCCCCCTAAAGGCTCTTTCGCGGATCTCATGGCCAAGGCCAAAGCATTACAAGAGAAGGCGCCGACTCAAGTTGGCATGTTCAAACATCAATCTGCCCCCAAGGAGAAGCTTAGCAAAGTCGAACGCAAGAAGAAGGCAGTGGAGGCGCAGACCAAGGATAAAGATGTGCGGTCGGCCAAGAAGGCAGGCGTTACTGCTGGTGGAGCTGCAGGCACGAAAGCCGGTGACGGCAAAGTCGTCAAGAAGCGGGAACCTGAGCCATTATCCTACAAAGGGACCGCCAGACCGACCCCGTCTACAGGCCAGCCCGAGTACCGAGGAACCGCCGGTCTGCCTCCACGCAAAACACCTGGTGACCGGAAAGCACAGTCGCGATCCAGGCCTCGTATGGATGAGTACCTCGGTACTGATGAGGAAGACGAGGGCGAGTATGCCGATGACTACGATGATTACTATTCAGAATCTTCCGATATGGAGGCGGGCTTGTACGATGTGGAGGAAGAGGAAGCTGCTGCACTGGCGGCCGCCCGACGGGAAGACGAGGAGGAATGGCGCGCGGAGCTTGCCGCCAAGCAGCAGAAATTGGAGCGTCGCAAGAAGCTCGCTTCACTGGCATCGCGACGATAAGAAGCAGTCCTTTGCTTCCACGACATACCTACCTACCTAATCAAACCTTTTGCCAGTCCTGCAAGCCGATTCACCTGGACTTCAACAACATTTTTCCCTTTTGTTTTCATTGTTTTCTTGTTTGGTTACGGAGCATCAGCGAGGAATACCCCGAGGGTGCGTTACATACGACGTTACTGGTCTTCTTTGTTTTCATTTGTTCAATTCTGTACCAATTTTGGAAGAGCATCAGCGAGCGTCAAGGTGTCGATAGATGGAGGGCGATTTCTTCATTTTCACTTCACATATTAACATTGCTAGTTACATACAATAGCGGGCGTGTCTGTTACTGTCACTGTTCTCGTGGTAGCATTAAATGCGATTGGATAGCTGCAAATATTGACCACTCTCATCGTCATTGCTGGTAATCTAATTATATAGTAAGGATTAAGCAAAGCAATCAAGACCGGATTCTTATCGAGAAATGACCCCATCTGCCCCACCCGTAGGCGGTGACATCACTCATCCTTTTGCTGCTACTGTTGCGACAGCTTCCTCTCTGCTACTTCTCTCTTCAATTGTTGCGCAGTTGATCTGCTCTTTTTCATAGAACGCATAGTCTATCATCCTACAGTTACAATCCAGTGTACTGATTGATTGTTATCTTTCTCATCATCATGGAGTCGTCGGTTCATCACATTTCAACCTCGTCCAAGGTTTTGCTGAAGAAGGCGCGCAATCTGGTGCCTCCGATGCTTGAGAAATTCCACAAAGGTAGGCCTTGATAAGACGGTGTCAGTGTTTCGCTTCATGAGCTCTCTTCTGACAATTAACAGGACAACAGGGACGTGTTGCTGTCATCGGAGGAAGTATAGAGTACGTTCACCCCGCTCTCTGTTCATGCGGTACGGAATCTGAACGTGTCCAAGTTACACAGGGGCTCCATACTTTTCTTCAATGGCGTCGGCTAGACTGGGTAAGATACTCATCCAATGCTGGTATAGCTAGCTGTTAGCTGACATGGCACTACAGGATGCGATATGGTAGGCTACTCACTTCACCAGAACGTTAGCCGCTGTATACACTTTCTGACAGATCACAGAGTCACGTAATTTGTGACAAGTCTGCTGCAGTTGTAAGTTTGTATTCTGCTAGTCTCAAGTATGTCTGTTGTCATTGACCGTGGCTAGGTCATCAAAACTTATTCTCCGAACCTTATGGTTCACCCGATACTGCCAAGCAGCGACAGCGTCAAAAACCCCGAGTCTATTGACGCCCCATCACTCGCTAGCCCCATCATCTCCATGCTTTCCCGCCTCCATTGCCTGGTTATTGGACCGGGTCTAGGCCGTGATGGAGTCACACTCAAGGTCGTTACGGAGGTGATGAAGGAAGCGCGGTCCCAATCGATACCATTTGTCCTGGATGCCGACGGTCTGCTCCTTGTCACGGAGAACCCGGATCTAGTGAAAGGCTACAAGGAGTGCATTCTCACTCCCAATGTAAATGAGTTTAGTCGTTTAGCGAAAGCCCTGGGCATTGACGTACCAAGCCAGGCCCAGATTGGCTCCAAGTCCGGTGGCGGAGACAAGACTAGCGAGGAGACCAGGGCTTGTGAGCAGCTTTCTCAGGCCCTTGGTGGCGTTACTATCATTCAGAAGGGTCCTCATGACATTATCTCCAACGGTGTCACTAGTATCGTCTCCGACATTCAGGGCGGGCTGAAGCGGAGTGGTGGACAGGGAGATACGCTTACTGGCTCCCTGGGCACCCTCTTGGCCTGGAGAGCGGCTTACCATAATGGATTGTGGGATTCGGGAGAGCAGGATAACAAGAAGGAGGCCGAGACCAAGCAAGAGGTTCAGGCGGAGCTGGAATCCGAGGATAAGAGGATGTCCCCCGCCACGACGTTGCTTCTTGCGGCGTTTGCGGGAAGCAGTATCACGAGGGAGTGTTCCCGTCGTGCCTTTTTGGCCAAGGGACGGAGTATGCAGGCTAGCGATCTCACCGATGAGGTCCATGAAAGCTTCCTGCATCTGATTGGGGAACCAGAGGCGTCGAAGATGCGCTTGTAGGGTCTATTTACGAAGTGATCGGAATGTTCGTGTCGAGATGTATAGAAATGACATAATGAATGGTTATTTTTAGGTTTAAAGTATATCTGGGTAGCGAAGGTTCTTTGTCTACATTGCATACCACACACTTTATACTGCCTTTGCTATCGCATGGACTTGTGACTTCTTTGCTCCCACGATGCGAGTACATCCTGCAAAACCGGTTAGCAAGTGATAGAACTAACCTAAGGATTCCCAGGCAGAAGGGTCCGATAAATCAGCCACATCTATACCACCTTAACTCTGGTGGACATCCAAATATAATCTTGTCTCATAATTAGATGTCACGAGATTGAATGTGTAGACGAGCCTCTACTCGATTAGTATCCGATGCCATTGATACTGAACGTTCAATAGTCAGTCCAACCGAGACATCAAGGCCTCCACCAGATGGACATCTAACTGTTTCGACCCTTTCTCTAACATCCACCATCGAAGACATCTACATACATACCGACCTCGTCGCCAGACTAGCCCCTGTCACTCAACTGACCGTAGCGGCGATATCAAAGCCAAAAAAACTGAGCACTCTCAATAATGCATCCCTCTTCCTGATTAACTCTCAGCCGACTGTAGTAAATAAGATCCATACTTTCAACCTTGCTAAAGGAAGCAACAATTGCCTCCCGTCAATGCCGGGTCCGCAGGGCTGCCTCGTATTCGCCCACCTCCACCGGCACAGCCCATATGACATGAGATCTAAATGAGACTTTACGACTTCAATGGTATGTCTCAGAGGAACCGTACCATCGCCCCATACTGAACTAATCTTGGATGATACCCTCATGACGTCGTAGTCCGATAGTTAGATACCAGCCACCGGGTTTCCCGTCTTTCAACAAAGATGATCCAGATGATATGGTCCAGTCTATACGAATTGAACTTGATTGAATAGGCGGATTCCAATATTCAGTCCATACTAATAATAATATCTCAATATTTTCGCAAATAGATAGATGGATATAAAATCGCCTTCCGTCCCCTCCTCCTCATCCTCATTATCCGCATCATCCTCCCCATCATAACTACAATTCAACTCCACTATCATTATCATTATCATCACCAACTGCCAACCATTACCACCATTCCAAACCCCCCAAAATGCACCTCCCAACAACCACTTTTGTCTTCCTCCTAACCTCCACCCTAACCCTCGCCTCCCCCAACCCATCTCCACCAACATGCGGAACCTGCAATCCTCTCTCGGGCGAAAACCACTGCGATGTGACAACCTCGTGCATCAACACCGGCACGCGATTCCACTGCGCCTGTCGCGCGGGATATAAAGCCTCCCGCCAGAACAACGATATCACCAAGCAGTTCCGGTTGAATGTCCCCGGGTATCAGTTCTTGGTCTTCACGCCCGAATTTACCCAGTGTGATACGCTGTGCGATAATCCGTATGGCGCGAGTGCGCAGTTGTGCTCGGAGGTGCCGATTTATGGACGGTGTGGGGTTTAAGGGGTTTGGTTTTGGGGATGGTTGAAGGGGTGTTGTTGTTAAGTTAGTACTGGGTGAAGAATTGGATATGAGGGAGGGAATGGAGTGATAGCTGGGGGACAGAAATATGGAAAGGAAGAGAGGGTGGTTATTATATCAGGCTTGGGTATTGTGATTGGTGTGGATGTGGGTGTTGAAGATATTGTTTGCAACTTGGGTACATTCTTTTACTAGATATAGTATTATGCACGTTGTCTTGCTTGATTATTCAATGCCATTCATTTAGATGATACCAAGAAAAATTAACACCAAACACCGGTCCGGGGTCTACCCTCCCACAGGAATCTCACATGGCCTCATGCACGTCTCTCAGATGAAGTAGAATAGTAAAAAGATAATCGATGAAAAATAGCAGCAACATATGACTGCAGACTCGTGCTAAATTAAGTAATAGCCGTTTACATGTCCATGGCATCAACAAACACGAGACGGGTACCACCGCCCAGAACTTGCCAGACCTATAAGATAGAATAATTAGCAGATGCTCATAAAAGTGCCGGATAAAGAGGAATGAACTCACGTTGCTATTCTCATACTCGTCAATCGTCACGTTGAGCTGGTCCTCCGTGAAACCCTTGGCAAGTACTCTCTCCCGGATTCTCCTCATGCTCAATTCACTTCCGTCTCCATCACCCACAGCCGCAGCACCACTCTCCATCATGCTGCGGATGAGGTAGTAGATCTTGCTGGTGGGGCTCTGGTCCAAGCCCGACTGGCCATCGTTAGCCAAAGAGGCCTTGCTGACCTCGACCAGGCGCAGGGCCTCGTCGACATCTTCGGTGACGACCTCGTTGCTGAATCGGAGACGCGCCAAGGCCTGCGACAGACGGACAACACCAAGCAGTGTACGGGGCGTGACATGAGAGAACTGCTTCTTCTCTGCCTCGTCCTTCTTCTGCTGCTTCCTCATTCTTACATAGGCTCCAACCATGTAATCGGAGACGGCGGAGGGAACAACAGGACGGTAGGTACGCGCCTTAGCGATGTACTGGCGAACTTCCTGAGGCGTGAACATAACGCCGGCATCCTCGTGTTCAGGGTGCTTGTTGTGCATGTGGACATAGGTGACGTGGCTAGCCAGCTCCTCGTCTGCTTCGCGCGAAGGGGTATCGAGAATAAGGAACATGACATCGAAACGCGAAAGGAGAGCCGCGGGAAGGTTGATGTTCTCAACCGGAGAGACTCGGGGGTTGTAACGGCCGTACAGCGGGTTGGCTGCTGCCAAGATAGAGGTACGAGCATTGAGGGTGGTCGTGATACCCGCCTTGGAGATGGAAATGGTCTGCTGTTCCATCACTTCGTGAATGGCCGTACGATCCGAGTCATCCATCTTGTCGAATTCATCGATACAGCAGATACCGTTGTCTGCCAGGACCAGGGCACCTCCCTCCAGAACCATCTCATCCGTCACAGGGTCCCGCATCACAGCAGCAGTAAGACCAACACCACTGCTTCCTCGACCGGTCGTGTACACACCACGTGGGGCAACCTTGGCAATGTACTTCAGCAGCTGAGACTTGGCAACACCAGGATCACCCATGAGGCAGATGTTGATGTCACCACGAATGTGCAGGCCGTCGCCCATCTCTTTCGTGACACCGCCGATCAGGAGCAGAAGCAGCGCCTTCTTCACATCGAGATGTCCGTAGATCTCGGGGGCAATTGATCGCGACAAGTACTCGTACATATTTCCGGACTTCTGGTATTGGTCAATTTTGCGGAGAGTTCGGCTGTCCATGGCCGTATCGTTGTATGACTTCTTGTGCTGCGTGATATGCTGGGCTTCCATGTAAGTATCAGTCAGCAAGCCCGCACGGATGGCTCTGAATCCGGTGTAAGGAGTGGGGAGGAAGATTCCTGCGATGTCAACAACATCTCCCGGGTTGAGCTGGCGTGTGAGACTTCCATGGCAGTGGATAGTCATGGTCCGCGGGATATGGCCAACAGGCACCTGGTCTGCCATTTCTTGGATCTTCACCTCTTGGAAAGGAACGAACTTGGAGGCGCGAGTGGAGAGGAACAGCTGTCCCTTGGAGTTGTTTGTCTTGCACTCTTCGGAGACACATTCCGACATAGGCAGGAACTGCTTCGTAGTAACCGGTTGGAACACTTCACATCCACAGCGATCACAAGTGTAGGCGTTGATTTCAACAGCTGGCTTGACATCTGAGACGCGAGTTGTGATACCCCGAACGGTGATCAAGCCACCAATATGCTCTGCGCTGACGTTGCGTACTGCAAGGGCCTTGGATTGGCGGTCGCTGCTCGAGCCGGAAGGGGTGAGGGGCTTGAAGTTTATGGTGTACCGGCGTGTCAGCTCGGGAGGAAAGATAGATTGGGCGGCATCGGCGTCGGCATTGGCCTCTGCAGCCATGTTCATGGCCTCGTTGCGTTTTTCACGCTGCGACATGATAACATCGAGCACATCATCTTTGAAACTGTGCGCGATTAGCCTCAATCCCTGAAAGATGGTATTTCCGACCTACGTAATCTCCTTGCTTTCCTTCGGCATCAAAGCATCAACCGCACGAGAGAAAAGATCGATATAGTGGTAGGTGTTCTTTTGCACGGAATCAACAAGCCGCAGGTCTTCGTCCTCCGAAAGGCCTTTCTCATACTGTAGCAGGTTAGTTTTGGTCGGTAGACCAGTCTGGATGAGCAAGCACTCACAGTAGCGAGGTCGTCCAGCTCGATCAGAATGTTTGTGCGCTCCCGGTCAGCGACTTCCTGCAATACCTGCATGTATTTGAGCTTGGGCTCCCGACGTCTGCGACCAGCTCGCTGTGCGCCACCCTCCTGGGCGACATCGTCCATAAAGTCATACTCGTCGCTGGTACCATCCTCGTCGATGCGAAGGTCTTCAATGGCTTCTGTCGCAGCCGATTCCGAAGCAGACTCAAAACTTTTGAAGTGCTTCAGAAAATCCTTGAAGGCATCGAGCTGCGCTTCGTAGTTGACGTTGAGGGTGTAAGCGTTCAAAGCCATGATGCTGTAGGGCAACAAGCTAGTTCAATTGACCAACAGCTGGCGATGAAGCGGGTTTGTGATGGTGCTAAAATCGCCTGGGGCCGAGAAGGTAAAAGAAAGGCGGCGGTTCGGCCAAAGCGTCCCTTGGCGGAGTTTCTTCCCAGTTGGCGGATTGCCTTTTTCGGCTGCCGCAGCAACACGTCGCGAAACGCGTCGATTTCGCGTCTTTCATGCCAATTCTACTTATTATCCTTTCCGGGACTAGCGTATTTCGGGTCAGTACAGCACGTGCTCTCGGAAAGGAACAACTCTCGGCCCGAACATGGGCGGCGGGCCACCTCGGCCAACGGCATCTGGTTGGTTTGCGGAGTCAATGCGAGTCTAATGAGTCCGGGGAGATGCTGAGGTCTGGTCTTCTCTCATTCTCCCCAAGATCTCCCGATTTCCGACTCCAATCCTTTTGCTGTGTTCGCTGACCGCACAAGCTTGCGAACCTGCGCCTGAGAATGGCGCCCCGAAAGCCCTCCACCACCGCGGAAGTTTCCCTGGTACCTTTGAAGAACTGTCTTGTAAACCTGCCACCGTCGCTGGTCGCACTGCTGGTCAATGCCAATACTGTAAGCTAGTCATCCCACTTGGACAGGGCACGGTCGTCTGGCTCCAGCTGACATAGATTTAGGCCGCACAAAATGTAATTGTCGAACTACAATATCGCCAAACTACGGGAAAGGCCAATGGCAACCCCGCGCAGCGGTCATGCTATCTGGGATGGACTGGAATGCCGAGTAAGCGGAAGCTGGCTCCCGTCGTGGGAAGAGACGGTATCAGCAGTGCGTCTGCCGCCAGGGAGCAGGATATCTCTACTGTAGAGTTGGACACAACGTTTGGGAGACTCTTGGGTCTTGCTGATGGCCAAAGGGTAAGTGTGTCGGTCGCGACGGGGACCCTCAAATGCTAATGCGCCTAGGTCGGGATATACATCCATCTTGATCCACCCGTTGCGCATACCATCAATATTGAACCACTGACTCCGGAAGATTGGGAGAGTACGTTTCGGGTCCCCTTCTATAAGTTACCGGCTTGGCTGATTACCTGCAGTTATTGAGCTTCATGCGACCTTCCTCGAACTTAACCTTTTGTCGCAGATTCGAGCTCTCCCCAACCCGACATACACGACGCCCCAACCTGATCACATGCACCCTCTTGCATTGCATCTATCTCCAACCTCCACGGCCAACATTGTCATCACATCTTTGACCCCTGCTCCCCCGAATACCTCACCTTTCGCGAAGATAGCGCCAGATGCGGAAGTCATTGTTGCTCCGAAGACTCGTCCGAAGGCCAACAGAGGCACCCGGGGAGATAGCCGGAGCGTCACTGGAAGCAGCAGGAGAAGTGTTGGGGGGCGGAGTAGTGGAAGCACCGTCCGGCCAAAGGGCAGTCGATCTGACTCGACGAGCAGGGGCTCCCTCTTCTTTCGGGGAATTGACCGCCAATTGTCGGAGCAGTACTTTGATGAAGAGGCAGAGGAAGACAACAATGATGGATTCCGTGTTTGGCTTGATCCGGACATGCTTGCCACAAACGAGCTTCGGGGCGCAGGATGGGCTTGCATTTCGGTTGTCCAGCCTGCTGGCCTGAAAGCGCCACCCGACCCGCAGCAACAGGTGGAGCAAACGGAACAAAAGGGTAGCGATGCTGGGGCACCGGCAGCCAAGCTGGTTGCGAGGTTGATTCCGTGGACTGATGCACCAGATACTCAGCATGTTGCAGTATCCACATTATTGTCTACTGCTCTCGGTGTTGAGGGTATGGTGGGTGGTATCGTTCGGGTCGAGGCGGCCCCTCCGCCGCTACAGCGGTCCACGGTGAAAGCCCTCAAGGTGTATCCCTTCATGGCTGATACGACAAAGAAGAAAGATGGGTTGAAATTCGGATCCGATACCGCGGCTGCGAGGGATGCATTGGCAGAGCGTATCAAGATGATCTATGGGAGTACTGGATCAGATAAGGGGCTACTAGCAGGACCCTTGACCGATGGGATGGTTTTGCCTAATACAGACTACCAGGCAGCAGGACCCAGTTTCGACGGTGCTATTCTCCGATTCGACCCTCCGCTGAAGACCGGTTCCGAGACGGCAAAGCCAGCAGCAAACTGGCTCTTGGGATCAGATGCTAAGCTGTCGCTGGAAGTGCAGGCTGAGATACCCCGTCCGGCAGAAACAAGCTCCTCCGCCCATCCGTCGGAGGACGCAATACCACCTACTGTGCCGGAGATGGTTGGAATCGACCGCATTATCTCTCAGTCTATTGATAACCTGACCAAATCATCCTCTATTTTGCTCACGGGTGGTCTGGGATCTGGAAAGACGGCTTTGAGCCACCTACTAGCCCACCGTGTGCGAAAGGACTACTTGTTTAACGTGAAATATTTCTCTTGTCGGAAATTGGTTACCGATGAGACCCGGATCTCAAACATCAAAGAAACGCTGAACCGCCTTTTTATGTCCGCTTCCTGGTGCGCACGTCTTGGCGGACAGTCGCTTGTAATTCTAGATGATCTCGACAAGCTGTGTCCTGTCGAAACGGAGCTTCAGGTGGGAGGGGACAATGGTCGCAGCCGCCAGAACAGTGAAGTGATCTGCTCGATGGTGCGGGAGTATTGCACCATGAACTCCTCGGTGGTTCTGCTGGCCACTGCGCAATCGAAAGAGTCCTTGAACAATGTTATCATCGGAGGTCACGTCGTCCGAGAGATCATCCATTTGAGGGCTCCGGACAAGGAAGGTCGCCGCAAGGTACTGGAGCAACTTACCAGCCAGGACAGAGGTGTCCCACCTGCATTGAACGGACATGCGCGAAACTCCAGCTCCTCTACCCAAGACTCATGGCTGAACCCTTCCAATCCAGGAAGTCGCCCCAGCTCAGCCGGCGCAGACGGGTTTGTGCTTGGTAGGGACGTGGATTTTCTAGAACTTGCTGGCAAGACAGACGGGTATATGCCCGGAGATATGGTCCTTCTCGTGTCCCGCGCACGAAATGAGGCTCTCATTCGCTCTGTTCAAGATATCTCGGCCTCTTCGAGAGCCATTACGCTTGGGGCAGATGATTTTGAGAACGCTATTAAAGGCTTCACTCCCGCTTCTCTTCGAAATGTTACGCTCACCTCGTCTACTACGACCTTTGCTGGCATCGGTGGGTTGACTGAGACCCGTAAAATGCTCCTCGAGACGTTGCAGTATCCCACCAAGTACGCACCTATCTTTGCACAATGTCCTCTACGTCTGCGCTCGGGTCTGCTGCTTTACGGATATCCTGGATGTGGAAAGACTTTGCTCGCCAGTGCGGTAGCAGGAGAGTGTGGCCTAAATTTCATCTCTGTCAAGGGTCCTGAAATCCTGAACAAGTATATCGGTGCGAGTGAGAAGAGTGTGCGAGATCTCTTCGAACGGGCGCAGGCTGCTCGGCCGTGTATTCTCTTCTTTGATGAGTTTGACAGTATCGCACCTAAGCGTGGGCACGACTCTACAGGTGTCACCGATCGCGTTGTCAACCAGCTTCTGACACAAATGGATGGTGCCGAAGGTCTCTCTGGAGTGTACGTCCTTGCGGCTACATCCCGACCAGATCTCATCGATCCCGCACTGCTACGGCCAGGACGTCTCGACAAGTCTTTGATCTGTGACATGCCCAACCATGCCGATCGCCTTGATATTATTCGAGCAGTTAGCGAGAAACTCGCAATGAACGAGGAGGTTGCTGCCCGTCTGGATGAAGTAGCCGCCCGCACAGAGGGCTTCTCCGGAGCTGATTTGCAGGCTGTCGTATACAATGCGCACCTTGAGGCAGTCCACGATGCCCTTGGCGACCACTCCGTGAACGACAAGTCCACGGCTAAGAATGGCACGAAGTCGTCATCAACCGCTACCAGCACCAAGTCATTCATTCAATTCCTCTACTCGGCTTCCGAACAGGAGGCCGGGAAAGTATCTATGCCTTCTCCGGCCGTTGTTGCGTCCAAGCTCGATGCAATCAAGAGCGCACGACGACGCCAGCGACAGTCCGAGCAAGGCACCGCAAACAACACGCAGACCGCAGCACCCAACGGAACTGCCCAGGAGGAACCGCGCGAGGAGATCATCGTGCGCTGGGAGCATATGGAACGTTCTTTGAACACAACGCGTAGCTCCCTCAGCCCCACCGAAAGACGCCGCTTGGAAGGCATCTACCGGGAATTTATATTCGGACGGAACGGCGAGATGCCCACCGGCGAAGGTAGCCAAGAGATAGGAGGACGGACGAGCTTGATGTGAACCATGTATATTAATACCACATGCATATACTATTCCATATTCCATTAGATTACTTTGATAGCATGTTCTCTCTTACATAGCTCAAATCTGGCAGGGTAGAGATCTAACCGTATGTCTTAATCTATCACTTAAGGGGGCTCTGCGTCTTGGCTTGTATAGCTTTGACCTTGCACGCACCATTATATCCATGATTTAAACGAAGAAATAGAAACCAAGGAACTTCGCCTGCGAGGCCCCTTAGCCAGAACTTCCTCTAGGCTCTTCCTTTCCAGGCCTGGTAGTCCCTTTTCGCGCCGGGCCTCGACTTCCTGCCAAAACACAACAATAACTCGGCGAACCCAGTCCCGGTAGTCCTGTCGATTCGACAAGATTTCATCACTAGACACAGTAGTCTCTTGATCATTCCGTTCTAACTCGCACGGCCAACAAAGACAAGCATCATACTCCCCCTTGAATCTTTCCCAGTACGCCTTCTGTGTAGCCTCAAACGAACCATTCAGGTTCTCATGGACTACTTTATCATTATGGTCCATAAACTTCCCTACATGTCGGATACAGAAGCGGCGGTACGGGCCCGGGGACAGCTGGTGCGTATGCCAGAACAGATCCACGTCAGATGTTGGAGTAACAGATATATCATTTGACGGGGGAGCTAGATCCAAGAAGTTGCGGTATTTCTGCTGTGCTCGTGGCAGAGTACCGACGAGTTCCGATGGACCGGTTGTAGACCGAACACAGAGGGCTGGTGAACGCAGCCAGCATTGCTTGTGCATCTCGTCGACGAAGCGCATCCCGCGCAGTACTGAGGAGTAGTGGGCTGATGATGCCTTTGTCACTGGGGAGGTTGGTATGTAGAACGATAGCAATGTCTTTACTGCCCATTGTGGTGTGTTGCTTTCGTAACTTGCGGTGTGGATAGCGTGGAGGAAGGTTTCGCGCTTGGTGTTGGATTCTAGGATGGGTATTGGTAGCGCTCTTGCTAGGGGATACAATGCTTGAGCGAGATCGGGGTTCGAATATGTTCCTCGAAGTCGCGACTCTCTGGTTTGACGAAGGTGAAGAAGATCGCTGCGCAGGGCGTCCACGGACGGTGCGTAGCCGCAGTCGCATTCAAGCTCGAAACCCTGGTTGATGTCTTCGGTCTGCGCGGTAGGTATGATTGGTAGTTGTCTGGTAGTATGGCAGTATGGACAGGTTATATCGTAAACTAACTGATGCTCTTCTGTGCAGAGCATTTCAAGTAGATCGGCTGATTGTCCGGAAGTCTTTTCGAAGAACTCTCTGGCAGCAGAAGATATGCAGTATCCGGTCGTTTTGATGTCTATTGCATCCACCTAGTATAGTTAGTCAAAATAAGTTTTTGGGGGGGATTTGATTTCTATTTTCTTACTTACCACTGCCTGCCAGGGGAACAGAATGCGGCGCATGTGAGGTACGTCCAGCCGAGAACAGTCGTCCGCGTAGATAACGGGCTGGAGCATATACGCATGCCAGATAATCATAACATCTAGAACAGGTATCAGTAAGACCGGTGCAAAGTATATTCTCCTAAGGGGAATAGCCACCTATAGGCGGTAATAGATCGGCAGGTAGCTCCATGAAGCCTTCCTCACGGATCGTGCTTGATAGCGTCTGGTGGACAGCGTGCCACCATGCATAGAATCGAGGAACAGAAATCTCCATAAGGCCAGCCAGTAACTGATTGCGAATTTTCTCATTCTCTGGCTGCAGGCCTACGTTGCGGACCGAGAGCAAAGAAAGCAGTTTTATAGCAATGTCGCCACTAGTTGCCTTTTGCTTCCACGCCCACATAGCTTCCATTAACAACAGGTGAGCAGCTGCTTGAGCTACGGACGGGACAGAATCTTCTGCCAGATGAGACAATTTGGATAGGCTCGTGATGGACGTATCAGGGGCAAAAGCCTCTTCGTCCTGCGTATCCGCTTCAGCGAAGACCGGGTGCTGTGTGATTGCCAATGGTGCATCTGGAATAGTTTTGCTGGAAGGCTGAACGCCCAACCAAAATGTCGATACAATGGAGGGGACTCTCATTCTTGATTGCTTGCAAATGTAATAATGGTTTTTGAGAATCAGAAGCAAACCCTCGGAAACGAATGGAAGGGCGCAGGATATGTAGGATAACTACCCTATTTCTATTAAACACATGAATGTGAGACATCACTGTATGCTTTCCGTGGACATCGAATGTGTATCCTGGCAGATCCATAGTCAATGATATCCATGGTACAGGCACAGCTGATCGACAATTGACTGTTTTGTATGGGTCTTTATATGATTAGTAAACTAAGGGGGAAAAGATGTACAGTTGCTCCCTCTCACATTAAATCCGTACCTGAGATGCTTGGGTTGCTTTTCCGATTAATGTAACGTCCCCCTTCATCGTCAAATCAATGTGTTGGTCTAAGGTTGCATTTGTGGGGAATACTAGGTACCGCTCCAGATCTCCAGGTGGAGCAGATCACCTACCAAATACGATGCAGGGGTCCATCTGGCCGGGTTAGCATCATCCAGGATGAGTATTAGCCATGCTCCCGTTCAAACTGGTTACTTAGTATGATAGTTCAGTCACATCCGACTTGACACAGATCTTGTTGGAGATGGCGAGCAATGTACAAATGAGTTATAGGAGTCTAGAAACCATCCATATAACGGGATACGACCGGAGTATATGAGTATACCTTGTGCCTAACAGATTCCTTAGGTCCGCGGACTAAGAAAGAATTTCCACCTGATGTTACAGCATACTTCAGCAGAAACCCCGCGCGGCTCCGCGGAAATTGTAACATTATTCCACCATCTCGGCTTCCCCGAAAGTATGACGATCATGAAAGTAGTTGCGGTGGTGATTAGAAATCGTCGGATTTACGGCGTCTATGACGGGGTAGATTTATTATGATATCAATAAGATAGGCTTCTCGTTTGACTAAAGCCCCTCTTCTGAAGATCATAGGAGGTCGTGCAGTTACTTATAAGCTTGGAGCTTGGATCTCTTTGAGGTGGACCTTCCTTGAAGGGTTTCATCTCTGTACTATCATGCGAATGCTAAAGCAGAACTTTAACAGAACCACCAGTGTCTAATAAATTCGATCCGTATATTGTGCACCATTACTCATCTGTGTTTCCCCCAAACATGCAGTCTCCTGCGCAGATAGACTGTCAACTATAGTAATTCCCGTCCGCGAAGCCGCCCTATCCAAAAGTGTATTACCCTCTCTTGTATGCAACAAGAGTCGTTCTTTCTCGCGCTAATACCCATCCGTCTATCGCACAATTAAACCTTCTGATCCCTACAATTTGCCTGACAAAATAAATGAAGTTCAACGTGCAAACAAGCTAGAGCCAGTGTACATTGAGTATCATCTGCAGCTCTACTCAAGGTACTATAGTACCTCAGCCAATTTGATGTTCCTGCCTTCCCGCCCCTCGCTTAGCCGACCAATTAGAGTTCGTTAATTCTAACCATTATTCCTATATAATTCAAAGTAAAGTAACAACTGGTGCCTTCGGGCATTTGGTCAATTTGAAACGATACAGAGAAGATTAGCATGGCCCCTGCACTAAGGATGACACGCTCAATCAAAGAGAAGCTACCAGTTTTTTTTGCAACTTTTACAGACTTCATTTGAGAGGTTTGTTGTTTTTGAGACCAATCGGGTGTGGTTTGTAGAGGGCGGGGGTTCGAATCGCGGCTGAGATGGTCTTTTTCTTTTTCTTTCTTATTGGTTATGGGGGCAGTTGGCTAGCAGCACTACGGGTGATATTAGGGGTCATCCGGTTTTTGAGTAATGTTTAGGGCGATTAAAAAGGGGTTTAGCTCGATTACTACTCTTTAATGGGGGTTGTGATATACACACGTATAATGAGGGGTGACTTCATTCAAGGGGCTCGATGGAATTTTCCCTTCAGATGCAAATAGTTGGTCTAAGGGATGTGCGGTCAGAAAGAAAGGATACAATAAGCCATACTCCTTATTTCAACTTCAGGATCGTAGTAATGACCGACAGGAACGTCCCATTAAGATTCCAGGGCTATCACTCTTGGGGGTGTGGCTTCCTAGTATCCGCTATAGATTACCATAGCCCAGGTTCCTGCATTTTGTAGCACGGACTAAAGAATCCTTTGGTGTTTTACGTACACAGTCAGAGCTTAGTGACGGGCCTTATACCGAGGTGGGCAGTGCCACCGTGGGGCCTGGACGGCAATTTTAATTGTCGTACGTAGGCATGCGCGGGGTAGTTAATCAAAAAGTTCAAAGTAGATGATAGACTATGGCTTTCGACTTGCATTTCGGTGGTTATGTTCGAAATGTATCGTCCGGTATATCCGCTCAGAATCCTGACCCTTTTCATCGTCGAGTCGAATTGGTAGGATGATTATATTTTGTACGTGCTTCTGAATCCTCGCTGGCGAAGTAGAGGAGGAGTATTCTCGCGCTGGTGGGGATTCTTATTCAAAGGGTCCACCATATATGCACATACCATGATGTTCGGTGTGACAAACCCTCTGCTACTTTGGTACTATTCGGGACGACGGACGCGCCGACCCGGGTTTCAGGAACGGCTTGGATCAAAACGACTCAATGCCACACTCGTCGGAGTCTACTCCTTATCGGGTAATTCTCGTTGGGACGGAAGAGCGAACATCTCCGTTTTGGGTGAATATAGGTTAATGCACGTCAATCAGAGAGGCTTGGCTGATTGTGAAGGAAGGCAATCGCCGAGCTCTGTATTGAAAATTGTGTCCGAACCGCGGATACCAGCCTGTTGCATGGAATAAGCATATATGTTGCATCAATCAATGGTCGTCAATAATCATATTTCTAAGGACAGCATGAGGTTATACTGCGGGGTTAGAATGGCAATGTCTTCTAAAGTTGCAGGATGAAGGGTTGCTGCCATGCGATGCTCGGTCTTGTTGGCCTGAATGATCGACATGAGGACGGTTAGCGACACTTGTTTTCACGTTAATTTCATTGCTTTGGGCCATTGCAGGCTCAGCGCCACTTCTGGATATATCCGCTTGGAATGACCGGCTGTGAACTAACAAACATCCTTGCGAACCAGCCAGGGGGAATTAGAACCTTATATCGGAGCATACGGAATCCATTGCTGTATATATAGCCTCGCTCAGTACTAGGCAGCGAAATTAGCTTGAGAAAAACAACCCCAAACTTTGGAATCTCCTTATTGACAACACTTACAGTTGGACTTGTTTGGGTCCTGAAAATACCTGAGAGACATCCACAATTAGACCCTCAATACCAGCGAGGGACTGAATAAGGTGAACGGCTAAACCGACACCTTCGGTGGAAAGAACCCACTGTAGACTAGATGATGGACATGCTCGGTTTCCCGAATGGTGCAGGTGGAGACCGGCGGACATCCCTCGATGGCCGAAACGCGCGTTGAGTGATGCTGAAGAACGGCCCATATTGATTAGAGCCAGCTCTAATCAGATAAGGCTCCGTTGATGGGGATCAAATGGTAGGGTAGAAGACGGCACGGTGGAAAATGTCATTACCATTCATCATGCTTATTTATAATGAGGGATAAACAGCCTGGGTAACTGCTGTTTCTCGTAGCAGCTGGCCTGCTTTTCATTCGTCTTGTTCCATGGGGTTGAGCTTCACTCATCCCCTGCCCTTCACCTTCTCTAGCCTTTTCTGACTTTTCTCTACCCTGTAATTCGTCTTTCGGCCACTTCAGCAGGTATTCTGTCGCAATACCCTGCGGATGTCATTCCAGTCAATATCATATAATGCAGGCCCCGGTATTCTGGCGCTCAACTGGACGGCGGCGGCCATCGCCATCCTGGTTATGATCCTGCGGGTAATTGCCAAACTTCGTATTCGACACTATGCAGTGAATGACACGGCTATGTTATGTGCGCTGGTCGGTTCACACCAAGCCGGGCGGATGTCATACTCATGCTGATTACTGCACATCAGGTCCTTGCTTTGGCGGCATCCGTCATGATTACCTTGGCTATTGCTCATGGCTACGGACGACACTCTCAGTACCTGAGTAAGGCAAACCAGGTGCTGGCCTTGAAGTATTACACAGCTTTTCAGTGTCTCTCGATCGTCGCCACTGGCGCTGGCAGAGCCGCCTTCACTTTATATTTGTTGAATATTTTACGTCAAGAAAGATATCTGGGCTGGATTCTGTGGCTCATCTTTGCGCTGCAGATCATCATCAACATTGTCTCGGTGGCTACCATTCTTGCTCAGTGTCAGGATATTAATTCTCTTTGGGATGCGCATGTGGGCACGGCATGCTGGAATCCAAATGTCGAGCGTATCTACGGCTATGTACAGTGCTGTACGTTTATTGACCTGATCCGGTGCGCTTGCCACAGGAAGACACTGACAGATATGATGTAGCGATCAATACTGCATCCGACCTCTTCCTTGCCGTCTTCCCCACCTACACCTTCTGGAGCCTGAGCTTGAAACTGCGCGTCAAAATTAGTCTCGTCGTGTTGATGGGGTTTGGCCTAGTGTGTGTTTTCTCTCGATCAATGACCAGCATATTATCTCAGATCGCTAATTACAACACGCAGAGCCATGGTGGCCTCGGTCATGCGAATCGTCAACCTGGGTTCTGTCGCTGAGCGTGGCGACCAAACCGCAGCGACGGTCAAACTCACTCGATGGGCGCTGGCGGAGTGTTATCTGGTCATCGTCACAGCCTCCATGCCATGCATTCGGTCCCTGATTATCGCGTCTGTCCGGAATATCTCGAGTGGCAATCGTTCGCGAGTGGTCGGATCACAATACAAGATCAGTCCTCCAATTCCCAGTCGCGCAGCATACAGCACTTGGGCGGACACACCACCGCGACTCAGTCGGGAATATAACCTTAGCAGCTATCCTATGGAGCTGGAACGGGTTGGTGGGCGCGCAATCACCAAACAGGTGGATATCACGGTGTTCAGGAATCGCTCGAGGAGCACCAGGAACAGCGACTATCGCCGGTGTTAATGAGCTATGTAAATATTTATGTCTTGTGCTACTACCAGTGGTTATGTGTGATGGATTGTGATGAATAATATATATTCACCCTACTATATGACTGTTTGATGATACTATGTATAGGACACAGATCGTCATGAATGCCTGTCGCTTTTCGATCTCTGGGTACACCGAACCCCTGAAATTCCGGGCGTGGTCAAACCGAAAGAACAGCCATGGATCCAACAACTCAAGGCCGTTGTTTGCCGAATGCCGGCCAACTCCTCGGCGTGGATTGTGGAGAGACGGGCGGCGGCGATCCGTGGCGACTCTCCACCACTTCTTCTCTCCAACGAACGTTCACTAACCCAGACCCCGGCTTTGCGGGCTTATCTCTGCAGTGCCGAGGGCCGAGCAACTCCTCCCTGCGCTCTCTTAAACGGCGGTCTATCATTCCATTCCTCTCTCTCCCTCCTTCTTCCATCCCCTGTTGACGGGCACATATACCATAGACCATTCTCTCCTCTTTATTATTTTTTACTTTTGTGATCGCCATTTCTGTGCAACCCTGCATTAATAATCCCCTGATCTCCCTCCTTCTCCTCTTCCCCAGCCGTTTTCCCCGCACGACTCCGCCATGCCTGTCTCCTCACGCTATCCTCCCGTCGACATTCCGGACCTTGACATCTGGTCTTTTCTCTTCGAACGCCAGGATAAGCCCTTTCCAGATGATAAGGGTATGTCCTTATTTCCCTCAAATGCCAGAGCACTTCCTGCGAATTAAAATAACCTATCCATCAACTTGCGCGACCTGTTCATTTCATCTGAGACACCCCGCTGACATCACCCAGTAATCTACCAGGATGCGGACACACAGCGATCCTACACCTATCAACAAGTCAAGGATGCCGCCCTTACCTTTGGCAAGGGCCTCAAGGCCACCTTTGACTGGAAGAAGGGCGACGTACTGGCCCTCTTCACCCCGAACAGCATCGACACCCCAGCCGTGATGTGGGGTGCTATCTGGGCTGGCGGTGTCGTGTCGCCATCCAACCCAGCCTACACAGCCGAGGAGCTGGCCTTCCAGCTCAAGAACTCCGGCGCCAAAGTCCTCGTCACGCAGGCGCCCTTCCTCCAGGTAGCCACCGCGGCAGCGAAAGAAGCCGGCATTCCAGAAGACGGAATCATCCTCATCGGCGACCAGCGCGACCCCCAAGCGCGCATTAAGCACTTCACCTCCATCCGCAACATCTCCGGCGCTACTCGCTTCCGCAAGCCCAAGGTCAACCCATCCCGCAACCTCGCCTTCCTGGTCTACTCCTCCGGCACGACCGGTGTGCCCAAGGGCGTGATGCTCTCGCACCGGAACATCGTCGCCAACATCCTCCAGCTCGCCGCCGGCGAAGCGGGCAACCTCACCTGGAACGGCGGCGTCGACGGCACAGGAGACCGCATCCTAGCCTTCCTCCCCTTCTTCCACATCTACGGTCCGCATCCCCTACCCCTCCAATATCACCCAACCCAAACCCCCACTAACCAAAGAACAACACAGGTCTAACCTGCCTCCTCCACCAAACGATCCACAAAGGCCTGCACCTCTACGTAATGACCAAATTCGACATCGAGCAATGGTGCTCGCACGTCCAAAACTACCGCATCACATTCAGCTACGTCGTGCCCCCCGTGGTCCTCCTACTGGGCAAACACCCCATCGTCTCCAAATACGACCTCTCCAGCCTCCGCATGATGAACTCCGGCGCCGCCCCGCTCACCCAAGAACTCGTCGAATCCGTCTACGCCCGCATCAAATGCGGCATCAAGCAAGGCTACGGCCTCAGCGAGACCAGCCCCACCACACACACTCAACCCTGGGAAGAATGGCGCTCCACCATCGGCTCCGTCGGTAAACTCCTCCCCAACATGGAAGCCAAGTACATGACCATGCCCGAGGACGCCTCCGAACCCGTCGAAGTGCCCGCCGGCGAAGTCGGCGAACTGTACATGCGCGGCCCCAACGTCTTCCAAGGGTACCACAATAACCCCGCCGCCACGGCGGAATGTCTCTCTGAGGACGGTTGGTTCCGCACTGGTGATGTCGGGTTCCAGGACCCGCAGGGGAACTTTTATATCACGGATCGCGTTAAGGAACTCATCAAGTATAAGGGGTTCCAGGTGGCGCCGGCGGAGTTGGAGGGCATTTTGGTTGATAATGAGGCTGTCGATGATGTCGCCGTTATTGGGGTCGAGAGTGAGGCCCATGGCACGGAGGTGCCGCTGGCGTATGTGGTTCGCAGCGCGAAGAGTCTTAACTCGGGGGTGAGTGCTGCGCAAGAGGCGGAGAATATTGTCAAGTGGTTGGATGCGAAGGTTGCGTATCATAAGCGGCTTAGAGGGGGTGTGAGTTTCGTCAAGGAGATTCCCAAGAGCGCCAGTGGGAAGATCCTGAGACGGTTGTTGAAGAAGAAGGCTAAAGAGGAGGGCATCGGGGCTGGTGCGGCGGGGCCGAAGGCCAAGTTGTAGTTGTTTTTCTCTTTGATCTCAATCTTGGGTTACGAAGGTTTGGATAGATATGTTGTACATAGAATTATTTTTTATGAATATTTTGGTCTTGGATACTATGTTAATTCCAACCATATGGTGAACATGAATTGTTATCAGGTGGTTTGATCGTATCAACATTCATTTTCCATATCATTATTATCATGAATATTAGTTTCATCATACGAAGTATCATAACGATAGGCTTACAACCCAAACCTGCTTACCATCCCCTCAACATCCTCTCCCTCCACCGCATCTACACCCTCCCTCGCAACCCGTTCAACAGCAACCTCCACATCCTCTTCTCCCTCCAACAAATCCAACCACCCCTCAACATCATCCCTCGCCAGCAGCGCATCCGCCACGATCGCCACATCCTCCCTCGACACATTCGCCCTCCCCTTCTTCGTCTTCCCCAGATCCACCTTCCTCGTCGCAGGCGTATCCGTCAACGTCCCCGGTCGCAGATTAATCGCCTGCAGCGGCTGCGCCGCCCCCGCAGCAACAAGCTTCTTGCGCGCCGCCGCCAACGCGGTCATGTACTCGTCCGCTTCCAGCTTTGCCTTGGCATATGCGGGGAGGACGTTGTAGAAGACGTTTTGGAGGCCCGCCCATTCGTCGTCAGACAGCCAGGTGGGTTGCTTGCGTCGGCTGCCGATCCAGGAGACGAGGAGGAATTTACGTACGCTGGGGTGTGAGAATGAGGCGCTGAGGAAGTGCTTCGCTGCTACTTCATCGATGGCGTGCGTGCGTGCGGGTCCACCTTTGCCGCCGGCTCCTGGGTTATGAGAAATGGGGTGGTTAGTTGGGTGGTAAGTGGTACTCTTGGGGAGGAGGGGGGAACCGTTGGATGGATGGAGCGTTGGATGTGATGTGTGGATTTGAGCTGGACTTGCAGGTGTGCAGGGGGGATGGTGCAGATAGATGTCTTAACAGTATTGTGGGCACTGGGGAAGGGAAGGGGGATGTTTCAATCCCAACCACGGCTTTCTGCATGTTGGCATACATACCTGCAGACCAGACTACATAGTCTGGGGAAACGCGGTCGAGGACATTTTTGGCATCGGCGTCGCTTTTGATATCGTCGAGGCTGGAGAGGAGGACGCTCAGTTTGCCTTTGGCGCCTTTGCCTAAAGCAAGGATCTCGTTCTCGTGCTCTGCGTTGCGGATGACGCTGGTGACGTTCCAGGAGCGGGCGAGGAGAAGCGGGGTCAGTTGCAGAGCCACTTTGCCGTGGCCGCCTAGGAGGAGGACTTGCATGGTTGTGATAGATGTGTCGATTTGATTGATATATTAGATAGAGCTGTATCAATTAGTGGAAATCTGATAGAGAAGATTGAGAGCTAGGGTTTGAGCTTGAAGCTCCAGAGCTTGTCTTGTTAAGGCCCGGCTTGGTGCGGAGAACGGATTAGTAATGCCGAGAGGGGATGATGATGTTTTTGAGCTTCTAACCAAATAGCTGATTGACTGCTGTGGTCAGTGGTTACACCGCGGTCGGATGGCGTCATGTGCGCGGCCGTCTGTTTGTCTACGGCGTTCAATGCACACGCAAAGTGTCACAGCTCTGCAGGCAGCAGCTCTTCTTACTTTTTCTCCTACGATGTTTCTTGTGTTCGTGCACAATGTCTTAGGTGCTGCAAGGGTGAGTGTGGGATCGGAAACCCATTGTCCTTTGCAGCAAACATCTCCATGGCAGCCAGCCAGCCATCTGTTAGAGATGCGCCTTGCGATGCCCCTTGATAAACAATCTTGTGGTGATGGTGTGGTTGTCGATCAGACGAGCCTTGCCAGGAGCCGGATTCATGGCTGGAGTTACTCGGCAATCAGGGCGAGAGTATAACACTAGGATGTTCCAGGACCACAACTCTCCTCAATATTGTGTAGAGTTCCAGACCATGTACTCCGTAGTAAAGGTAAATGGCACTGGGGATATGAAAGGAACTCGCATCCCTAACCCCCGCTGTTGAGGGTGAAACACCGGCCGATCGGTTGGAAGGAGAAGTCATTTCCGCGTAAAGCTTGAGCAGCGGACGATTTTAATCCCAGGACCCAGTCGATCGGAGATGGATTGGTTCTGTCCCTCTCTCTCCCTCCCTCCCTCTCTCTCTCTCTCTCTCTCTCTCTCCCCCAACGGGATAAGGACCTCGAGCCGTGGCCGATGCTCGCTCAGAATAGCGGAAAATTATTCGTTTGAGAGCTAGCTAGCTAGTAAATTAGTAAGTTAGTGGATGTCTGGAACCTAGGTTGAGTGGGATTAGTCAGAGATGCGGTTCTCTTCTTTCCCCTCTTCATTATGGACCTCGGAAATTGAATTAATTAAGGGAAGGTCGAAAGGACTGATCTGGAACCCTCGGGAGGAGTCGAGGATTCTTGGTTGGGCCTTTCTTGGTTCTGGTCCACCACCGGTTAGTATCCAGCGATAATTCAGCGCGGGAGAGATGGGGGTGCCTTGACCTTGGCAGCATCTGCTTGTCTTTCGTCTTGTTTATACTGGACTGGTAGATGACAGGCTGCAGGAGACGATGGAGACGCGGGATGGGACGAGATTAATGACTTCATGATGATGTGGCTGACCATCGTAGATGTGATTGACTCCAGTTAGTTATGATTGTTCTTATCTTTTGTTATGCCGCGTATGCTAAGCCAAGTAAGATGATGATAATTTGCAGTGCACCCACCGACATCGTGCCTGTGCCATTCTTTGTTTGTCTGTGCCAGAGTTCTACCGAACGGGCGGAGATAATCCGGCCCAAGTCCTGTCTGGTCTGCCACTACTGGACGTCTCTACATATTCTACACAATAGCTACATTTGAATAACTACTTACTGTGTGCTCACGAAGCTTCCAATGTTCTTTCCTCCCACTCTAGTTACTGTGTACTATTTAGTCAGGAGTGCATAGTTTCCGTACCACTGGGCGTATTGACTAACCAAAATATGGTCTAGTCAGGGGCACTCACCAGACCCGGCACAAGCTGGCTGGCTGACTGAGTGCTAGTCTGACTGCTGGCTTGATCCTGTGACTGACTCTAATTCCCCTCGGGGTGAGGCTGCTCTCTCTCCTGGGAAAGCCCCATCCGAATATAGGCGGTACCATACCCGTAAAGAGGAGGTAAAGGCAGAGCTATTTAGTTGGTCATCCGAATTCAAAGTAGGTTCGACCATCCAACGGCTGTCAATTTCTTTCCCGAAACCAAACCCGTGACCCTGACTCGGTCAATCTACGTTCTTTGCCTTGCTAGCAACCCCCATCTCTAAACATCCACCAAATGCTTAGGTTTACCAGGAATATCAATGGAGCCCGTGGATGACGTACTGGATCTTGAACCTCACAAACCGGTCCACCTCAAACCAAATGACTGATGAACCATGCCGCCTGGTCCGAATGAGAAACCGGTTCCCAGCGTGATTAGTCAGGACCATCAACCGTCGGAGCATGAACTCACTCGAGAGACGGTTCGGATTAAGGTGCTCTTCAGGGTTATATCCCCATCCTGCTAACTTGCCTTGCTGATGGCCCTGTTTGGCTAGCGCGTCATGCTGGACCTCTTGTTTCCCCCCTCTCTCCTGGAGGGGTATGCGCTATTTTATGCATGTTCAATATTGGCACTGATGTTCTCGACGGGGTACTCCGGACTTATCTAAATCAGAATTTGACATTGGTATGGCGCGGGAGGAGAGCTCAGATTGCGGAGCACATCGTATGCTTTGATCGCGACTAGCTGCATCGGATACATGTCCATGCAGGAGGACTGCAGGCCATGTACTCCGATTGCGTCCGTGAGTCTATCAGGACAACGCGATAACCGTCGACTAATGCCGATGATATCAAATACTCGCGTCTAAGTAGCGTGGGGACAGACACCAGCGACTAATCCTACTATTGATCCAGTAATATGATGGTGGTGACATGGTGTAGTCTACCCGACGGCAGTCGAGATGATCGTCCCGCTCGTCCAAATTTCCGGAACCCCTCTAGCGGTCTTGGGATAAAGTTCAAAGGGCATGAAACAGCATCCGATAGACAGGTCATATTTTCGCGAGGGTGAGGTGGAATAAAGTCCAGTTCAGCTGGTCGCTTCAGAATTTTTGCCTCTGGAGGTAGCCCCCTCCCCCCGATTGCCTGATGAAGAGGGTCCCTGAAGGCAGCAGTTGCTTCACTAGATTTCAGACACCACCAATGAAGTTTGTTTGACGGGGTGCACATCACAGCGTTAAGTGAAGGGTGCCCTGAATATACTAGCGACTTAACTACTGAATTCAGTAGTACTCGAGGTCGCGAGGACTTTTTTCGAGGCTTAGGCTTCAGCCCTCAGCCCCAGATCGGCCCACATCCTGGGAGACGCGGTCATAAACGATTGTGTAAGTGAAATGTTTTCGTTGTCTTTATTTTCCCGTAAACGAGATTGAAATTCCGGTTCAAGATGAATGAGAGGGATATTAAGATTGCTGCTTGTAACACAATCCCAAAGTTAAAAAGGCATTAATAAGTAGTAAGTTATAGGGAAGGTCGGCGAGAAGTGGTTATCTAGTTGCATGAGTAAGAGAAGGAGAAACAAACAAAACCTTGGCAGGTACTCTATCTAAGAGTAAGTAACCTTTCTCAGCCAGTTCCAGGGACGACGATACGGTAATAGGAGAGGTAAGTAAGGTAAGTAAGGTACCCGACCAGGACTCAGTGACCAGAGCTCCATCCGATTTGCAGTTCATTTCATGGTTGGTGGAGCCTGCAAGGGGCACTTGGGTCCTGGTCGGCGGTACCGTACGGTATGGACAAGACTCATCCATGGATTTCGTGACAGTTTAATCTGTTTCGGGTTCTGTTATGATCCAGGCACCGGAGCACAAGTGGAGTCGGTGCCTGAGGGGAAATAATATGGTCTGCCCCCGGTTCCAGCTGGTTGAAAATTCGTGGTTAAGAAAGAAGTAGCTAGCTAGTTTGCAAGCAGAATCTTCACAGATCCATTATCAAGTGCGGTGAAGAGAAAAATAATCATGACAGCCGCGCTGCACTGAAAATTCGGACTGCAGGAAGAGAGAAAAAGAAACATTGAATGAAATAGGATTGGAAAACTGGCCAGCGAATCTCGTGTCGATCCGCTTTGGGTTCCAGCGACCATCGCAGCGCTGGCCAATTGGGCCCCAATAATGCGATCCCACATAATACAAAATAATAATCATGATAATAATTATTCAATCCAGTCATTCAGAAGCAGAATCATAATCCACTTTCCACGCTTCTGTCCCCCTCCCCGTCAGCTTGTGAGGGACGGAGAGAAGTCTGAAAAGTAGTAGCCATGGAGTCCATGTCAAATCATTGGCTTTGATTAAAACAGGCAGTAGAGAAAAAAAGTAAAATGGAATAATACTTTGGAACCCGAGATGGGGAAGATGAGAAAAATGGGAATAGACCGACCAATACAGTAAACTCCAAAAAAAAAATAAAGGGTAACCAGAATGACGATCGAAAGGAATCCAGATCCCTTCTTTTTTTTCTAGTCTTCCATACCTTCCAGAGCGATCGTTGCTCTTTTTCCCTTTTTATTTTTATTTTCCATTCTACTCTCTCGTCTTCCTCCAGCTCTCTCTTCCTCTCTTTTCTTTTCTCTCTTGCATTGCTTCTCGCGTCGCATACTTTCCCGGTCACTGTCTCTCCTTTCCCCTTCACCCCCTCATCCTCCTCTTCCTCCATATCACCGGAGCCACATTCGTTTTCAATCGCGCTTTTGACGCCGTCTCCTTGAACTATCGACTCCATCAATCAATTTCTCGGGGGTCACTCTCCACCGGATATCCAACCGGCTTCAACATCAAATAGTAATCTACTTACTCCGCTTCCGCCGTCGACGGTGCAGCCACATTCCTTACCCGGCTCATGCAGACGCCCCTTCTGTCCAATCCGACCGATATTAGCATCTATCCTTAGTTCTTGAACTTGGATTCTTCATCGCTAGCGATTATTATCTCTCTCGCGCATTATCGACCTAAGACCAGCCCACCCGGCAAGCGACGCTTACTATTGGCAATTGACTAAACCTCTCCCTCCGTTACACTGGCATTCCCAGGGGATGACCGGGAATTTGGAATAGCGTCCATTCCTCGAGCTATTCCACCACCACCACCCTCGTCCCATCCATTCGCTCGTTTCTCTCTCGTCTTAGCCCTCACCTGGTAGGTTCAAGACCCATTGAGCACCCTTTCATTGTGCAACCTCAGCGAATCTGACGGCTTGGATCTTATCCAGTATTGGCTCTCCGGTGTAACTGTCGGATCGGCTGCCGCTCCCTTACGCCGTGAATTTCGACTGTCGGCTCTCCACCCCCCCTACAATCGCCTGGACCGTCGCTCTTTACACTTCCCCCCATCACACCATCATGAACCGATTCCGCAAGACAAAGAAGGAGAAGGTGAAGGAAGATGGCGACTATTCCGAAGCCAGCTCGGTCAGCCTCAGCTCCATGCTGTCGAAGAAGTCCAAGAAGGAGGAACCCGAGGAAAAGCAAGACTTCGACCTTTCCAATGCATTGCCCTCGACCGACGACTTTCGTACCAGTCTCCTGATGCCCAAACTATCCGCACGATTCAGCATGTTGAGGGAGCAAGATGATCCAGAATCGATGATCGGAAAAGCCAGCGACGATAGTGTGCTCTTCCCCCGGCGCGCTTCGCGACTGAATCTCTTTGGCCACAACCCCAGCCTCCTGTCGGACATTGACGAGGTCTCCATTGACGGCAGTCGGCCGTCCATGAACCTTGGGCGCACTCATTCTCTCGCGTCGGATAGCAATAATGGATATGGTACGGACGACGACCCTTGCCAACAGGGCAGCATTATGAGCAGGGCTCGTCGAGCCGAGGGTAACAACTTGTTCGGTGGACGACAAAAAGTGTACAAGATTCCTTCCTCCAAGACGACCTCAGGAGCAAATTCGGAATCCGGACGAATGGGGGGCCGTGCGCTTTATGACCATGATCTAACCATGTCATCATTCCAACGACTGAAGTTAACTGAGCGTGAGAATGCGGCGACAGAAGACACACCGCAGGACAGTCCAACTCAGGAGTCAGAGGATGCACTATCGAGTGCTGGTTCCACGAAGCGAACAACTTTCTCCTCAACGGCATCTGGGCCCACTTTCAATGGGCGCACATCAACAGCGGCGACATCTTTCGACGAGCAATCCTTCATCGCACCTCCGTCGCAGACAAACTCGGCGGACACGCAAGCCTCCCAATCTAAGCCGCCGGTGCCGAACATGGCTCCTGAGCGTGGCTCGGTCAAAGCCCGCCGTCTGTATGGACAAGGTTTGGCACAGTCCGCTCAAAACCAGCAGACCTCCACCTTGCAACGACTGGAAAGCCTGAGCCGTCAGCGTGGAGCGGGCCCAGAATTGCCTCCCCTGAACCGTGCCTTTTCTAGAAGCGCCACAAACTTACGCGACAGGCTGCAGCCACTCACTATTGCCGAGCCGGCCGGCACTGATTCCCGGCCGACCAGCCCTCCCTCACAGCCCAGGTCGCCAGAACGGTCTGCTAGGGTGAATCCCAGGGAACCACAAACTCAAGCAAATTCTGCGTACGGTGTCCCTCCGCTGAGCCCTCCCGCCAGCGAGAATGAGGATAAAGCCCCCCTGATGGCCGCTCTGAATCCGGAAGACCATGGGAAAGCCACAGCAGCCGGCCTATTCAACAAACCCAACAGCATGTTTGACGAGAGCCAGTTTACACGACGTCAGTTGCAAATGCACCAGGGAAGAAGCACGCCGCCTTTAGGGCGACTTCCTCCCCCGCCTACTCAGGCTATTCCCCAAGAGCGCGCCGGTCGTGCTAGAGGGCTGTCCAACACGAGCTATGCGTCCAGACCTGGCTCTGCATCTTCTCACTACAGTGAGGCTCAACGGCCAGGTAGCCGATCCGCTGTCAATTCCCCTCCTACAAGAAATGACAATGGCACGTTCTTCTCGAACCCCAGTCCCAGTGATTCGGAGGATGATGGCGGTGCTTCCCGTTACGCCACTGACGAGATTCATCCTGCGCTTCGGCCGGAGACGCCCTCCAAACCATCCACTCCCACTAGTGAGCACCGGAGCCCTTTGCCTGAAGTCAGATACTCGGATCTAGGTGACCTGAAGCCTATCGCGGAAAATGACACTATTGAGAATGGACCCGGGGAGGATGATGGCCTTCCTGAGAAGCCCGATTCACCCACCTTGGGGCCGGCTGGCCTGGGCCTGAGCGGCCTTGTTCGTACTCACTTGCGATCCAACAGTGACAGATCATCCATTTACCCGCCTCCTTCTCCAGGCCTTCCTTCGAAGCCCATCGACACCGATGCCCAGGAGGAGCCGGTTCTGCAGCACCAGGCGGGCGCCCAGAACAGTGCACACTGGCAGACCGAGCTTATTGCTAGACACAGACGTGAAGGTAGCACGGAGACACAGAGGGAGCGCGAAGAGTTTGCCAATGAGCTGGCGGAGAGGCGCAGGAAGGTGCAGGAAAAGCTTCGAGGATTTGCAGAGGGAGAAAGCCGGTCGGCCAGTCCTGTTTCAGGCCGCCAGACTCCGGATTTCACCCCAAGCAAACCCGGAAATGCCTTCGCCTTTCTGAAGAACAAGTCCGGGAAGCAGCACCTGAAGGGCGCAAGGGGCCTCAACCTTGCCAATGCATCCACCCCGGCTTTGGTCTCGGACGAGATGTGGCGCGAAGAAGAGGAGAGACCATCATTCAGCTTTGCGAAACACTCCAACTCTAGCTCACCACATATCGCTGGAGAAAGATCCTTCCGCTCCAAAGTCTTCGGGCGCAGTAGCCAGGAAGATTCTCGCGAGTCTAGCCGCAGCCGCGGTGCATCTCCGCACTCCAGCTTCCGTTCTCGCCGGGATCGCTCGACCTCGGATGCCTCTGGTCGTTCTAAGAGTCGCACGCGGCGAGACAGAGACGGACTGGAGACCCTGGAAGAGGTCGCTCACGGTGTCCATAGGCCGTACGCGTTTCCCGATTATGACCAACATGGTCTAGCCTCTGTCCCAGCTTCCACTCGTGCTTCCGCCGAAGTTAGCGAACCCATCACGTACGATCGGTCCGCCTCTGCCGCTTCTGGAAGATATCGCAGTGACAGTCGATCAGCGGTCTCGAGCTACCACGAACGTCCCTTTTATCCTCCAGCTCCGGCAGCTAGCACCACCTCCCTGATCGGTGCTGCTGCCCCACGGCCTTCGCCTATCGCCCCCTATTCTGCCAATGCCACGCCACCTTTGGAGGACATGTCTCAAGGCCATTCGTTAACCCCGGTGACCACCAATAGCTCTACCACTGCACCTCCCCCGCGAGCTCCGGGTCATAACGGTCTCCACAAACGACCAGTCACCAAGGCGCTGATCTCCGAACCGAGATTTGTCTCCTCCACTTCGAACGTACCAACCGTCGGCCTCCCTCCCGGCGCGAGCTTGAGCAACGGCAGAGATACTCCTCCAGTTCCGCCTATGAACCCTCGTCGCCGCCGCCAGACCACCACACAGACTATCCTTGGCGCCCTGAAGGGTGAGAGACACGAGTCGCAGTATGCGCCATCGCTCGATGCCGCCATGATGGAAGAAACTAGCAATTTCTCCGACGATGGCGAGAAGCGGCCCAGATCCCGAGCCCGGCTACGCAAAACGTCCAGCGAGGGAGGCAACCTGAACGCAAAGGCCCGACAGCAGCTTCAACACCTAATGTCTGAGGCACCGCCGGCCGTTCCTTCATATCCACCACCAAAGATTCCCATGGATGGAGGAATGTTCTAATCCTCTCATCCTCAAACCACAAACCTCATCCGATCCTTTCTATCTCACTCCTCCCTTCCTTCACTTTTATCCATTTCCTTTCCATTTTCTCTCTCCTTCCTTCCTTCACCTACCATTCTCCGGTCATGATGTATTACTCGATGTCCTAAACTAGCATTCTGCATTTTAATGTTCGATACCTCTCGTTTGGAATTCTCGCATACATCATGATATACCAACAGCGTTATGTTGAGCGGACAGGACACGGCTGTCATTGTTTCCTACTCTGT